GCAAGTCCACCTCAAGGTGAAACAAGATCCCAACAGCTTTCAGTCCAGAGCTGAATTTAGAAATGTCAAAATAACAAAACGTTTCGTTCTTTCTGCAGGAGCAAACTCTTCTCCTGGATAATGCACTGCGTAGCCAAGAGGACCTTAAGGAGCAGGTCGCCATGTTGGAGCGCAGGAACATCTTGATGCAGGCCGAAGTGGAAGAGCTCAGGGCCGCGCTGGAACAATCGGACAGAAGCCGTAAATTAGCTGAACAGGAACTTGCCGATGCCTGTGAGAGAGCCGGGCTGCTGCACTCGCAGGTTGAATTCATCGAATTGGAACACATCAACTTGATGCCCCTCAGCTTGTGAATCTGCCGTAACTATTTTTCCTTGTTGTGTCAACGGGAACGCAGAACACGAGTCTCCTCAACCAGAAGAGGAAACTGGATGCGGATCTTAGCCAGCTGCAGAGTGAGCTGGAGGATGCGATCCAAGAGGCTCGTAATGCTGATGAGAAAGCAAAGAAAGCCATCACGGATGTAAATATCACATGATGTCGCATTTGTCATCACACTTCATGATTACACATTAAATGCTGGGTTGTTTTCCTCACCCGCTCGCTGGGTCGCTGTGGATTTTGAGCAGGTTGGGTTACTTTTACCCAAGGCTGGGTTCATTATTTTGACCCAGTACATTGGCTTAAAATTGGATTTGGCTGGGCTGATGAGCTGAAACTGGTCGCCGTTCTATTTTATTGTAATTTTTTTAAGTTTTGTTGTGTTATGAAGTTGAAGTGAATTTAATACAACATACTTCAAAAAAATTTTAAGCGTGATTTTTACAGCGTATCATAGGAAGCCCCACATACAATACAAATATCGACTTGATTAGATTTAAGCAGTGTAAGGATGGCGTTGGAAATATTTCAATTTCTTGTTTGTTGGCTGAGTTTGAATCCAGCGATAAGTAGCAAGTGTCATATCCATCCACTGGAGCTTATTCCAGCTGACTTTGGGCCAAAGGTGCACTCAACCCAACTGTGGTCGCCAAGCAATTACAGGCCACGTTTAATATCAAGACAGACAACCGATAACTCGCACATTCAACACCATTACTGAGTAGGGAATAAATCTTCACTGCCTGCGCTGAAGTCAAGCAAGTGTACCACTCACTACACAGTCAGTGATCGAGTGTTATGTTTTGCATTTTTGTAGACTGACTCACATCCAAACAATACACCTTTCCCAAATTTCCATTTCATTTTTAAAATCTTTTTTTAATATGCTTGTTTAAATGCAGGCAGCCATGATGGCGGAAGAGCTCAAAAAAGAGCAGGACACAAGCAGCCACCTCGAGAGGATGAAGAAGAACATGGAGGCCTCGGTGAAGGACCTGCAGCACCGTCTCGATGAAGCTGAGAGCCTTGCACTGAAAGGGGGCAAGAAGCAGCTGCAGAAACTGGAGGCTCGGGTATCCGAACATGTTTCGAAATTGTGGCAACATTGCTGAGAGAGATTAGTTCTTTGGAGTTGGGTGAATGTTTCAGGTGCGTGAACTGCAAAGTGAAATGGAGAGTGAACAGAGAAGAGCTGCGGAGGCTACCAAGGGAGTTCGTAAATACGAGAGGCGGATCAGGGAGCTCACGTACCAGACGGAAGAGGACAAGAAGACTGTCGTGAGACTGCAGGACCTTGTTGATAAACTGCAACTTAAAGTCAAAGTATATAAACGGCAGAGCGAGGAAGTGGTAAGGTCTTAAATTGACTCTCCCATAACCTTAATGCACGACAAAGAATGTCAATTCAACCTTATCATTTTTTACAGGAGGAGCAGGCCAATGTTCATCTTGCTAGATTAAGGAAGGTCCAACATGATCTGGAAGAGGCCCAGGAGCGAGCAGATATTGCGGAGTCTCAAGTCAATAAGATGAGAAGCAAAAGCAGAGAGTTTGGAAGGGTAACTTCATGCACCAACATCATATACCGTATTTTCCGTACCATAAGGCGCACCTTCAATGAATGGCCTAATTTAAAACAGTTTTCATATATAAGGCGCAGAGAATAAAAGCTACAATAGTGGGTTGTGTTATGCATCCACTCGATGGAGGGATGCTAGAGGTAATACAATACAGCTTTATTTATACACAGTTTTCACAACTGCTGCAGCTGGAACAAAGTGCTTTTCAGAACATGTAGAATACTATGTCCAAGAAATCAAAATATTGATCCATATATAAGGCACATCGGATTATAAGGCGCGCTGTCGGCTTTTCAGAAAATTGAATGCTTTTAGGTGCGCCTAAAATGCGGAAAATACGGTACATGTACTTATCATTTTTTTCTTTTTTGATTTAGGTACAGAAATTCAGATTCAGTGAAATGGAATAAAATTTCAACCCACGACTAAATGTAAATTGGATGATTTCGAATACGTACGCTCAACTCAATTTTATTTGCATATTGTTTCAAACAACCGCCGCTAAAACAACCACACACACGTGCACTCACACACAAACTCCAGCTTGACATTATGAAGCCTTTAAACATTTTTGATTGACTACTTTCTGAAAAATGGAAATATATTTCTCTTCTTTCTGATGTCATTTTGTGGCCTAGGTTGCTGACGCAGAGTAGAACTCCAGAACATCTCGACCCAGAGGACCGTCAATGTCAACTCTGAGCTCAGTAAAAATGGATATCTGAACTTCAACAAATTGTTTTGCTGTGCAACTGTAGTGCAATAAATCAGCATGATGCATTAAGTCTTGTTTTTATCTCTTGAGCTATACAATGAAATGTTGACAACCATAGGGGTGATTAGGTGGCGTAGAACCTGTACTGCATCAGACGAAGAGCTGTTTTGAGTATCTCTGACGCTCTCATGTAATTGGATGGCAAACGTTTGAGGTCTAATTTTTTTTTTTTTTTGATGGTACAACAAATGTGGTCAATTCACTGAAGTGTAAAATAATGAGCATGATCAAGTGGCAGGTCTTTGTCACGACCAAAATGACTGTTTTCCCTTTAACGAGCAATACGAAAGGGAACAATGATATATTTTAAAACAAAAACACATTTAATCTTTTTCTTGATACTTGATTTTATTTTTGCATATTTTCTTGTACATTACAAGAAATCACATTGGCTAGCAATGAGTTCAGGGTGTGCCCCGCCTCTCGTCCAGTCAGCTGGGATAGGCTCCAGCACACCCGTGACCCTAACGAATTTGGTCGTATGAGCTGTTCAATTCATTATTACTATGTTACTCATTATTAGTTATCAATTGTATTATTATTTAAAAAAATCGGAATTATATGATTTATGTTGTGCTCATATTCATATGGATGCTTGTTGAAAAGTATCTAAAATCAATTGAGGACAGCATTCGTATTCTGAATATGCTGTTTACAAATAATAGCCAGTGAAAAGTGAACTCTTGCCATATTCAGGTTCCTCTCTTGTTAAATACTGCCCCCTTTTGGCAATCACTCGAGAAAATCAATCCAGGCAACTGCAGCACACAAAGGCATATGTCACACTCACATTCACACACGTGGTGAAATGTACTGTTGCGTTTAACCTAACGGATGTTTTTTGAATGTAGGAATAAGACACTATGTACTATGAACAGTACTGCGTATATAAATACAGAACAGAACTCATTGAGATGCAAAGATGGCCCAAACATTCACGATGACATCAGCATTGTATTCAAACATAATGCCTAAAGTGGGATAAAAGTTAATTCTCAGAGAATTCACATTTTCAATTTTCAGCTTTGAAGTTTAGGGCCCAAATTTATGTTTTATTTTAATTTTTTTTTTGCACACAGACGAGATACTTTGCAGCATGCCCACGATTCTCGTGAGAATAATTAGCTCAGATAATGGGTGGACGATTTTATTCGAGGAGGCGTAACACATTTTTTAAACTATTCAAAACTACTCCCAAATTGATGCCTGAGAGGGAGCGCTCACAATATACTAACACAGATAATGTATATTATTGACGATAAAAGAAATAATAGTTCCTGTTTTAATTTCTAAATCTGCAAATCACTTTTGTCCGATTTGTTTCAAGTGTCAGTATTTGACAGTAGAATCGTAAAATAATGCGTGAAAAAAAAAAAACAGCGCTCTCTAGTTCCCATCCTGTATTTGTAATATGATTGTTTAAGAAACCACATTTGTCATAGCGAGGAAACTCCCGCAGCCTTGAGCTGAGTGACAACATTTGGGCTTCAGGAGCTTTGTTGATTACATAATGTAATATACACCTCCAGAAAATACATTTAAAAACAAAACAAAAGAAAAACATCCCCACCCTCGGAATTTGTAACATTTCCATTTGATGGCTATAGGTTTCTCACTATTTTTGATTTTTAAATATTGTACATTCCCCAAAATAAAATTTTAAGTTAACAACATAGTGCTTTGTCAACACTCATCGCCTAGACTGGTATGTGAGTAGCCGCCGAATAGCTCTAAAAAAAATGGTTTACTCATGATCGCTATGAATTGGGAGTGAGGATGGGACTGCTAATTTCCAAGTTCCACTGCCTTCGCGGAATCTGACTGATTACAAATCACAAAAGATGACCTAAAACAACATTTGCCCCAATTTGTGAAAATTATATATGTGTGTATATATATATATATAAATAGGGTAAGCTAACCGTTGTTAGTCCCACAGGAAGTTTTCAAGTTGCACATGTCATAATACTACAAATGTGCCAACCAGAATACTACGTCGGATCGTTTACAGTGCACTCTACGTACAGAGCACGTCCACTCTGTTTACGCCAACGTCAAAGTTACGTCATGATGGGGCGTGGCTTTGGTCAGAGACGTAAGTGTCACCGGCAGCACTCGTGAAAAGTGAGGCCACATTCAATTCTTGCTTGTAATTTTAAAACGGTGTGTTTTTTTTTAACATACATTTCAGTCTGACTTTTTTAAAAGTTTGTCATATTCACACCGAAAAACAAAAAATGTTTATTTTATTTTGTTGTTGTTTTTCCGGATTTTATTTTGAATTTGTCCGGGGTTTCCCCTTTGCTTTTCCTTGCCTCATCGCGGCTTGACGTTTGAGCTTTGTGGCCGCAAACGGAGCTCTCAGTCATCCCGTAGAAGCGGAGCGGCGCGGGGCGTACTGACGGTGACCACCCGACAACCTGTTCATCTACTTTAAACAAGTTCCACAACAAAGTTTCATTCGTGTTCTCTTCCGAGGTGCAGACTTTTACCACCACCATTATCATCGGGCAGCTTATCTGAGAAGTTTGACTTTTCCGGGCGATGTCTGGATCATACTGCAAAACTCTGTACCCGTTCAGTGGAGAGCAGCATCAACAGGGACTGAGTTTCAATGCAGGGGAGATGATCAAGGTGGTGCAATCTCTGCCCGGAGGCTGGTGGGAAGGAGAGAAAGATGGAGTCCGAGGATGGTTTCCTTCAAGTTATGTCCAGGTGCTGGAGGTAATGGAAATAACTTGAATTGAGTCATTTACTTATGCTATGTGCACCTACTTAGATGTTTCCATAACATCAGAAAAAAAAAATTATGTATTTGTTTGTTTGTTCCTTGCGGAGCACAATGGTCTTTCACTGGGGATTGTACCCCCATACTGATCCAACAGATACATAATGGGGGATTTCAAATTAAAACCATCATCTCAATTTGCAACTGAAAAATATTGCATGACTAAAACATTGAAGTCATTTCACTTCGGCTATTTCATCAAACAGATTGACATGGAAAGGCAAACATTTGCACATCCACGGATGAATTGTTTCCCCGTGCTGTGTTTATCAAATGTAGTCAAACCTCCTCCAGTGACTGGCATCTTGCTGAGTGGCCCGCACACTTCCTCATTCCACTCGCATTCCATTGACATTCTCAGGGCTCCTCTCTGTGCGCGTGAATGCACTGGCTGCTCTCGTTCCTCATGGTCACCCCCCCCTCCCTCCTCACTTTCCCACTTGAGAGAAATGTGGGCGCTTTGTTGAAAGTGTATCCCTGAATTGAAGTTTGGTCTCGTGAGCGTGATGTAGAAGGCGGAGTTTTGCACAACAAGAGTGACAGCTTGAACAGCTTTCTTGCGCAGGCCGTGCAAAGCATCACAGCATGACTGCCTGTCATGCATGATTGTTTTTCCGACAAATTTGGACCGGTTGATGTTCGCCGTGTGGCCCGTTTAACACAGGATGATAGAATCTGTGTTTGCGCCAAACAGTGGGCTGTGTGACTTATCACAGTCTCCGTTCTTTCGCGGTATCTCTCACTGAAACTGTGGTTGGATATTTGTGATGTTTGAGTTGAGTTTCTCCTTTGAATGACTCACCCACCTTTAGTTCATCGAATGGTACTGACTGAAATGAGAAATTTGTAGCTGACTCTGGGCGAGAGGTTGGGTCCATCCTGCCCTGTTCGCGAGCGAATCGCATGGCAATTATAGGATAAAATATGACATGAGAGAATTGGCCAGAAGAGGAATGTGATTATTTTTATTGTTTTTTTTTTACATTGATATCAAAACAGTGTTGAAAATTGAAATATTGAC